GGGGGTGGGCATGCCTCCAAGTTGTTCCTTTCCGAAGACAATGACACATCATCGGGCTGAACTGAGTCTCAAACTCACGAACCCGCAACCTCAGGATTGCAAGTCCGGTAACCGAACCACAAACCAAAAGATAACCGACAACTGGTGTGATATATTTCAACATCTAAGCTAAGCACTAGTAAAAAACTGCTGAGGTCATTATTGTTCGACACTTTACCTTTCAGACATGAGGTATTTCTCTCACGGTTTTCTATAACAAATCTTATCGAACCTCCTATATAAAAACGAGGTAAGTCTAAATCGCATCAATTGTTCTCAAGGCGAGGTAAGCAATCTACAACGAGAAACATCAGTTTGGAATTCCCGTATTTCTATAGGGTCAAAAGAGATTCGTGCAGAACGAGGAAGATTTAGATCTACATACAAGTTTTTAGCTGCTAACTTTATTGGAGTCCAAATGAAATTTTATTTCAGAGTCAAATGAAAACCGTCTACAGAATGTTCAGAAAAAATGAAATAATGTTAATACGTAGTGCACTGTAGAATGTTCACAGTATCATAATGTTATTATCAGTTATTTCTCTGCTTCACTCATGTTTCTTTCTTGTCTTTTTGTTTCTCTATTTTTCTTTTCGTTTCTTTCTTATCTTTTCGTTTCTTCCTTTTCTTTTCGTTTACTTGTTTTACCTTTCGTTGGTGCAAGTGAGTGTCACGGAGGTACACGATCGTCTGCGAGTCGAGTTGCTCGAAGAAGGTTCACATCGTGGGCTCTGAAGAGTCAGTCCAGTGATCTCCCTCCGTTTCACATGTTTAATAATGTATTTCTGTCATCCTCGAATTGACGAGAAGAAAGCATTGAGTATAGATTGGTTGTTTGTTTGAGCACATCGATACAAGGATGGTCATTTAGTTCCGGGGAAAGAGTAATACTGACAGACAGAAACAACAAAGGAGCATTAAAGAAGTAGGGCTTTCAACCACCCGCAGTTGAGTAAAGAATAGAACGATTTGTCTTCATTAAAAAAGTTGTCAGTTTCCTTTTCCTTTCTAAAAAGTTTGTCCTCGACTTTTTGTGTAACTGGTAGTAGACATCTTTTCATTTTTTTATTATGCGGATAGGTTTAAGGCTCTTTATTTTCCACGTCAAAGGGAGCATTTGATGCTAAAGATGAGAAAGAAAGTGTAAAGTACAAGTGCATGTAAACAAAAAAATTCGAACCGTTATTTAAAATGGTGTCAGCAGAACCACTGACTTTGCCTCATTAATTGCCTTGTCAAAATCATTCGCAAAATGCAATTTTTCCGTTTCTGCATTTTTTAAAAATTCAATTTAATTCAATTTTCTTTTTTTTAGTTAGATCTATCTATTCTCTAACGTGAATTTTATTTATTTTTTTTCAAATTACGTTTAATGAAATTTATATAATTTCCGATTATTTTTTCCTTGGGGCTTCATCCGTGTTTATCTTTTAGAACTATTTGTTATGATATTGTACACAAAATGTCCTTCAATCTGTCATGTTGGCCGTGTTTGTCTGTTGGTGCGCCATTCCTTGCAGCTATATGTCTCCATCGTTCCTGGTATCTGCTTTGTGTGAATTATTTCATTTAAGTTGCGGACCATAGTTGGACTTAACATTTGCAACGAACAATATAGGAAGGCTTTCCTTACAATTCTTTTGCCTCTATTTTACCCTGCAGCACAGTTAGTTGTTATTAGGTCTATTTTTGTTTTTATTTGCGTGACCTAGGTTCTTCCATCTCCTTTTGCTTATCTTTGTGATCATGATAACATGTTGCGTACCAAGTGTCCACTTTCATTGGGGGTTTTTTATAGTTGTTTTTTTTAATCTGTCGTTTTGAACCGATGCAATATTTTGGAAAACCACATTTCTACTCCTTGTATACATATTATATTCCTTTTTGATGTCCAGGATATACACCAGTATAGAATTACTATCAATATCAGACTTTTCAAAACACCAAACTTTACTTCTCTTGGTAATCAATCTAGGTATGCATCTGTCTTTCAAGTTGGTGTTTAGTCGTATAATCCCGTCTTTTGGATGGTACAGCAACTATTAAACTATATGACGTCTCAGAATCGTAATCACAAATTACATAATATGTTTTGATGTTTTAATCTTCGTCTTCACATCTGACGTTGATCTTTCAAGGGAAACTACAAGAATAAAGTGGTTTGGGTTGGAAGGGGGGGGGGGGTTATTGCTCTGTAAAGTCAGATCTGACTCCTTTTCAAGATATTCAGTTTTTATTGTTATTATTGCTTTCTAATCCTGAAACAGCAGACCTCATGATTTCCCATAGGATGGCGTCGTCTTCGATGTGTTAGGGGTCAGACATGTAGGCGGTTTCTTTTTCATTGAGGGCAGCTCCATTATTAGAATTTTTAAAGATTATATAAAACTGATAAAGAAAGAGTTCATTTGTTTAATCAAATCTCTTTATTTTAAAATGATTTTTCATTGAGCCGATTTTCTTCATGATCCTTTTTTTCCAACTGTTTATCTTTTAATTTTTGCTTGACGTAAGCCAGTTTCGTTTGTTTGTTTGTTTTTTGGCAACCTGTCCTTAGAATGAAATGCTTGATGATTGATGAGTTCATTTTATACTGAAAGGGTATAAATCCAATTTATAGCGCACTTGACATCACAGAAACCATTTCGGCATTTCTGTTGTCTATTCGCAAAAAATTATCTGGGACAAACATTTGCAGATACGAATGTATAATGGATTAAAGTACGAAACAAAATGTTGCAACGTGCGGAATATTCCGGCAATACGCGGCACCATTCTGACTTTTCCATCAACTCCGTGAACGGTTGTGTTTCTACAACAATATATCTTATTAATTCTGTTGCTGTTCGTTTTTGGGGGTTTTTTTCATTCTTTGAACTTTTGCCATACAAAAAGCTATAAGAGGGTGTACTCTCCCTCAGTTGTTTCTGTCTGTCTGTTTTACATTTCCCAACACTAAATGACCAGTAATATGTTGATGTGCTTCTCTAAACGCAAACAAATAGGCAATCAAGCTATATTTCAAGCTATTCAAGTTATTGGTTTTGAAAACTTCCTTTTTGGGGGGCATTCTGAGAGGTTGTAAAAAATAAGATTATTCACCTTTTTAGCCAGGTGTTGCGACAACTATTATAAACCAATAGGCACATTCTGTGCGGAAGTACTGGCAATCCTTGCATACTATTCTTGAACTTCTCTCATCTGAAGAGATATTAGCTCCATCAATTTGACTTTGTCCGATCTGAGATTGGAGCAAACGCGTAGATTTCAACTTTTCTACAAAGGCTCTAGATCTATATCACTATTAAATTTCTAAAGAATTTAAACCCATACTTACGATTTTTCATTTAGTTTTATGGTCTTCGTTTTATGATATTAATGGAATCCTTATACCTAATTCACATTAGTGAATGGTTGGCGAGTGTTCTGGTATGGTTTGCTGCTATCAAACAGCTGTGGTCCTCATCTCTCCTCCGTTTCTTTTTTGTGTTCGTTACCCTCTTGTAGCACCTCTACTCTTCAACACGTAAATGACTGTATTGTGTTGCAAGTGCCGCAAAACGCTTTATAAAACTAAATACATATCATATAAAATTTAGTACATTCAGACGAGTTGAAAATTATGTTCTCATTTCTTATAAAAATCGCGTGTCTTTAACTCTATTACAATATCGTAATATTAGAAACCACTCTATTTCTCACGTTATGTTCAGTCCTTACAAGGAACTTAAGTTTTTATGTATCTTTATTATGCGTTTCAGGGAAATTTATCTACTTTAGAGGTACTTCAGTCTGCAGCAAGATACAAACATGGTAAGGATATATTTTAAAGTAATTAATATTATCGAGGTGATTATTTGTCTGTGCAGTATAATCATTCTACTTGTTTTAGAGAGCGTAGCTGAAGTTTTTTTATCCAGCTTACTTTTAAAATAAACACTAATTGTTTTTAAAGGTAATTTACATCTCATGTGTATTTTTAAGAAAAGTAATTTTCCACTTACGTCTGTCGTGCTTTAGTAAGTTGACTACGAGAGGACGCAAAAGGGAACAAGTTCGATTCTGCCTTAGGTAAGCTATCTCATGACGTAGCTTATCTAGCATCTCCGTGTTTTTCCTGTTACAGTATCTCACACAGCCAAAGTTGGCTCTGATAGTCAAGGTCCAAGCAACGAATCTGGTTTATTCACTCGAACTAAAATTTCAACAGTGATATAATAGTAATAGAACTTTAAAGGACAAACTCTGTTGATATCTCAAACCAGGATCGCTTCCTGTACCTAATGGCTTGCGCAACTTTCGTTTCTGCTTGTCTTGCTGAGGACGGAAAGGAAAGATCAAGAAGAGGTTAGTTAGTTAGTTAGTTAGTTAGTTAGTTAGTTAGTTAGTTAGTTAGTTAGTTAGTTAGTTAGTTAGTTAGTCAGCTAGCTAGCTAGCTAGCTAGCACGTAACTAGCTAGCACGCTAGTTAGTTAGTCCGTCAGTCAGTCAGAAAGTCAGTTAGTTAACTAGCTATTTAATTAGTCAGTCAGTCAGTCAGTCAGTCAGCCTGTCGGTCAGTTAGTTAGTGAGTTAGTTAGTTAGTTAGTTTGTTTGTTTGTAATTAGCTAGCTTGTTAGTTAATCCGCCAGTCATTCAGTCAGTCAGTTAGCTAGCTAGCTAGTTAATTAGTCAGTCAGTCGGTCAGTTAGCCAGTTAGCTAGTTAATTAGTCAGTCTGTCGGTGAGTCTCGGTCAGTCAGTCAGTCAGTCAGTCGGTCAGTCACTTAGTTAGTTGGTTAGTTAGTTAGTTAGTTATTTAGTTAGTTAGTTAGTTAGTCGGTTAGTTAGTTAGTTAGTTAGTAAGTTAGTTAGTTAGCAAGCTAATTAGTTATTCAATCAGTCAGTCAGTCAGTCAGTTAGCTAGCTAGCCAGCGAGTTAATTAGTCAGTCCGGTGGTCAGTGTGTCTGTCAGTCAGTCACTTAGTCAGTTAGTTAGTTAGTTAGTTAGTTAGTTAGTTAGTTAGTTAGTTAGTTAGTTACTTACTTACTTACTTACTTAGTTAGATACTTAGTTAAGTAATTTTTTGAATCAACACTAAGTGACTGTCATTGTGCTGACGTCCGTCTTTTTATAACTGCAAACATTTGAAAGCACCTTATCTTCTCCTTTCTCTCCATCAAAGAGTTCAAGTTGACAGGGATCTTTCTGAACGAATCAACTAAAGTCAGCAACGATTCCTATTCATGATGGCACATTCCATGAGCTAGGGCGCGGGGTTGGAAGGAGGGGGTGTTGTTTGGAAAGGGGGGGGGGGAATTCAGGTCTTGTTTGCCAAACACGCTTGAAAACTTTTAACTCCGCCATGTACCCCACTTCCCAAGTTATGGTCACTCATCATTCTCAAAGGCGAAATCTTCAGCTTCTCAGAGGAAACGAGACGAGTTCTTTGTTGTTTTGGGAAATTGTGGGTTACTAAGAGAAACAACTACCTGTTTAGAACCACTGGTGAACGTGTATTCTTTGATGTGCACATGAATGATCTTTTTTATATAATAATGTTTTGTCTTTCATGTCTCTTTCATGCCTTCATGTTTCTTTCATCCTATCCTCTGGGCTAAATACTCCGCATTCGAAATGATCTCTATATCATGTTTAGCAGAGAGATAAAGTTTAACTGCTTACTCTCAACAAAAGTTCAAATTTCATCAGTTGTTTAAATGAATAAAAGGGAGTGTGTTCTTCATTTGGTAACCACCAACCATCCCCAGCTTTCCTCCTCCCTATTTCCTACCGTCATACCCATCCCTCCCCCCCCCCCAATCCCCACTCTCTTAACGATTTAGGTTATTTTTAATCCAATGTCCCTAAAAACCATTCTCTGGTCTTTGGATTCCCTACTACCAACCCAAGTCATTTCCCCCATCCCCACTCTATTGACGATCTAGGTTGGATTTTTTTCCCCAATGTCCTCAGAAACCGTTGTTTGGTCCTTGGATTCTGTCCCTGATACCAAAATCGCTGACGACATCATACAAAGTTTCGGACCACTACACCAGTGGGGGGATGACTCCATCAGCGCCAGCACAAAACACTCCGAAACAAGAGCGCTAAGGATCTACTACAAGAAAGGTTCCTACATCAAAAGTAACGGGCCTAAAGGTAACCTACTTCGTGGGGTGGTTGTTTTTGTTTAAACAAAAAAAATAAAAGTCAACGTCAGGCCCTTTATTCGGAACCCACTTGACATTCGCGGTCGCCACTGTTCGTCGAGCCGCGATTTGGTCTTTGTGACTTGATGTAAGAATGATGCTATTATGAATAGAAGTGAAAGTCACTTTTTAAACATTTTTCTCAACGTCTATTATGGATAAATGCATCCTTTCACAGGATGTCTCAAGAGCACCACTGGTAGATCCTACTTATCAATTTTATATCCTTCTTTCTAGTCTCCCTGCTCGTTCTCTGAAGTAATGGCTGTTATTTCGTTGCTACGACTTTCTTTCATCATCATCATCATCATCATCATCATCACCATCAGCAGCAGGAGGATGTCAAACATATGTTTGAATGTCCAGGAACAATGGCAATTGGAATGGAGTTATTTGGACGAGTGGAGGTGCCTCTAAGTACAATGACAATGGGGCCGAAATAGAGCCTCGCTCTCGCTCGAAGATTTCTTCGTGGAGTCCAACAGGCCTATTAAGGAAACAAAAAAAACCCCATCATCATCATCATCATCATCATCATCATCATCATCATCATCATCATCATCATCATCATCATCATCATCATCATCATCATCATCATCATGACGTTTGGTGGGGGGGGGATCTATATCCGCCAAATGTAACGATGTATTTCAAATGTCATGGCAGTGCCCGTAACCTCAGCATGCTCCTGCATCTGTCTAGGTGCCGGCTTCTTCAGCACGCCTTGCACCATCCCGGCCAACGCTGACGTCATGACTCTCAAGTATGACGTCTACTTCGAGAACTTTGGCTTCGGTATTGGCGGGAAACTTCCAGGTCTATTTGGCGGAGAGAATGGAGAAGGTGCTTTCAAATGTTCAGGAGGATCCAACCCTCCTACCTGTTTCTCTCTCAGGTTAGATGATACCTTTTATTCTCATAGCCTATAAACGTATTTGATTTTATTCTAAACTTCTTATTGTTATACCAGCCTTAGCGGCGAAATGGTTAAGTCCTTTTCCTTATGGAAAAGAGATGATTTCGATTCTCGTAAGGCGTGCAGATAATGTTTATAGTGGGCATTTCCACTTGCTACTCTGACAGACAGGGTCAAAGCAGCCAGCCTCCTAAAATGACCTGCTAAATTTCACGATTTGGCCGCAAAACATACTCTTCCCCTGCACTAATAGCCGTTTCTGTGTCGATGTGCTTCTCTCTGCTCAATCAAACAAACAGAATTGTTCATAGCATGTTAAAACAACTTCTTGATCGAATCTTTGTGGTTTTAGGATAGTATGGAGAGAGAATGGAGCTGGTGAGATCTACGCATACATTCCCCACAATCAGATGGTCGGATTTTACAACCGCAGTGACGTCATCGGTCACGGCCATTACGGACAGTCCTTAGGCAGAGGGAGAATCCAGTTCAAGGTACGACTTCTCAGAACTTCACATATTATTATGTCGGAGTTCATGAATATGTTACATTTTGTCGTTGATGGTGTTGGTGTTGGTGGTTGTGGTGGTTGTGTTATTGTTGTTGGTAGTTGCGTTGTTATTCTTGCTGTTATTGTGTTTGTTGTTGTTGTTGTTGTTGTTGTTGTTTTTGTTGTTGTTGTTGATGATGATGATGATGATGGTGATGATGATGATGGTGATGGTGATGATGATGGTGATGATGATGATGATGATGATGATGATGATGATGATGATGATGATGATGATGATTAGCCTCCGATGGAACGACATAAATCTTTATAAAAATAAGAACTCTATTTACATTGTTTCGTTGGGATTTTTTGGATGTTGTTTATTTTAGTTGTATTTTTAAGTAGCTTTTTGGAATATTTTCACAGAACAATAAATGGCAGACGATCACCCAAGAGGTCCACCTGAACACAGTTGGCAGCGCTGATGGTTGGATCAACGTGTGCGTCCAAGTGGAGGGGGAATCCCAGCAATGCTACTCGGCCAACAACCTGATCATTCGCGAGACCGACAGGGACAGTCTGAGAGGTCTATTCTTCTCCACCTTTTTCGGGGGCAGCGAACCCACTTACGCTGCTCCCAACGACAGCTGCACTTTCTTCAAGAACTTCCAGATCTCAGTCCCTGATCTCAACACTACCAGCACTACCAGCCCAGTTATTGTTGGTTAGGTCTCGAATAGAACGATTATAGAATCTAATAAACTAATAAGGCCACAAAAAGATTAGTCTCTTCACAGTATTGCAAACAGGTTGTACTGAAGACCTCAACAAACATATTTCCCCCCCTAAGACTTTTAGTATAGGACCATTTCATGAAAAATGAAACTGCACGACGCATGTAACACGGGGATGATGACGGGCTGAGAAAAGTGTGAATAGTTATACAGCCTGGGTTCCATCCTCTCCATCTTGTTTTTTTCTTCTTTCTTTTGGGAGGAGGGGGGTCTTTTTCCCTTTTTTGCTCTGGAAAGGCTGCTTTCAACCAGAAATATCAATCAATTAATCAACCGATCAATCAATAAACCAATCAATCAATCAATCAATCAATCAATCAATCAATCAATCAATCAATCAATTCATCAATTCATCAATCAATCAGTCAGTCAAGTATGGCTCTATTACTGCTTAGAATTTTTTTAACAGCTCAGCATCTCCGCAGTTTCATTTTTCAGGGTTTACAAATTTTTGTTGTTGTAATTTTTTGAACAGAAAAACCAAACCTTTCTAATTTCTCGAAGTTTATTTGATGAGGTGCAATAAAATTGTTGAATCACAATCAATGCACCACAGCTGTGCAGATACATAATGATAGCATATTTTCTTATGAAGAAATTGGTGCCAACACGTACGTGTTCACTAAGATTGAGACAAAACACTGAGATGGAATGCTGTCAAAGGAATCCATATTATTATATTTGAAAACACTCTCTATGAAAAAAGAAAGAAGAAGGCTTCTTCTTCTAAGAGAAAAAGGTGCTTCAAAAAGAAGAACTTAGCTGAATGCCCTCATACTTATATAATTTCTAAATAACGCGTCTTGGCGACAATTTTTTTTAAATGGCGCCTATATCCAAACTGCGAGCCATTTTCTTGTCCATTCTTATGTTATTTTAAGCAGACTTTTAAGAATCTCAATCAAGTGAATTTTTTCCACACTGAGGCGATGTGGCTTCGAAGACACTTTAGATTTTACGCATCAATAAATGAACTTGGAGCATGTTACAAGTTATAGCATCACACCACACTTGTAGTATCCTTTGGAAAGGAAAACAGTCGTAATAAAAAGGAGCTGTCGTAAGTTACTTCTATTATGGACAAACTTTTGCGTCTTTTCTATGAACGGTTAAATTATTTTATAGAATCAAGGACCGTCAGGGGAGGCTAGTCGAGTGATTGTACCAAGCATTTAGTAATTGAAGTATATCAAGATTTACGTCCCTTGATTGTGTTAAATCATTTTAGCCACATGACTTCGCGCATCGTGCAAAAAACCCCGGTGTTTTTGTGAAAACTGTGAAACAGCGCTACCAGTCCACTATGAGTCCCACTGTTACCCAGGCTTTTGTGCATTGGGTCTTGAAGTTTGAATTGAGGGCCGAACTTTACTTTCACCAATCTTTGAAGGCTACGAATGTAAAGGAGAGAAAACTGCCGTCCGTGGTGTAGCTGTTTGGCGCTTTGCTTTCGCACGCAGGAGACCCGAGTTTGACTCCTGAGTAGCGAACTTTTTAAATAGAGTATCTCAGTCTTTATCCTGATATGCTGAATCTCTCTCAGCCCAGATTGATCCTGACAGAAGGATCTGACGCCCGCCTCCTAAATTATTTAATTTAATTGTGTCATAAAAAGACCTACGTTTTAAAGAGAGAGAGATGGAGAGAGAGATGGAGAGAGAGAGAGAGAGAGAGAGAGAGAGAGAGAGAGAGAGAGAGAGGGGGGGGGAGGGAGAATCACTTCACAAACATCTGGTCACCCATGTTGTAGACTTACTTTTCCTACTTCCTGTACCGGACAAGCCGCCATCTTGGCTTGGGCTCTTCATGAGTTTGTTGTCAGGACAAAACAATGCTGTGTTTTGTGTAAAAGAGGGTGTTCCCTAAACCCTGAGAGGGTTGTTAAGAAGCTGACAGTAACCACTTTACTGCTCCCTAGACATAAGTGATACAACAAGTGTGGTGTGATGCTATAATTTATAATAATGCTCCTAGTTCATTTGACACGTAAAATATATATATAAAATGTCTCCGAAGCCGCATCGCGTCGGTGTAATAAATATTTAGCTTGATTGAGATGTCAAAAATCTGTGTAAAATTATAATTTGATAAGAAGGGAAGCTGGTTCATTGCCATTTATCTACTGGCGTAACTTTGTTATGGCCTTTTCAGGGTCGTAAGGTAAGTTAAGAGGTGCAGTATCCCAGCACTGTAAAAATAATCATAATTTCATTATTTTCTTTTTTGATAAGACGGATCTAGTTGGTGGAGAACTATAAAATCCTTAAACAAAGTTTTGAAATAGCACATTTCAAATTTGAAAGAGGAAAGGGGAAAGGGGATCTGGGGGTTGCGCAAGGAAAACAATAGCTCTGTCTACAGAGCAGGTGTTTTAGCAAATATAATTGAAATGTGTGCAGTTGCATATTCTTACGTCGGGAAAAAGCATTACGGTTTTGACTCAATCTCTATTTTTTGAGTGAACATTGTATCTCGTCTGTACAAACACAAATCGAAACGCCCCATCAAAGAATTAGTTTTGTTGCTGTTGTTGTTGTTGTTGTTGTTTTTGTTGTTGTTGTTGTTGTTGTTGTTGTTGTTGTTGTTGTTGTTGTTGTCCCGTCTCATGATTTCAATGCCGAAACGTGTAAGTTACGTGAAAATGTGCCAACATGGTACAATTGTTACGCTTCAAGAAAAACAGAACAAGAAGAAGGGGGAGTACTTAGTCTGTGTTGATGATGATCATGGTGATGATGATGATGATGATGATGATGATGATGATGATGATGATGATGATGATG